GTTAAATGGCGGGTTAACAAGAAGTGTTGAGAATTCGATATGCAGAGTAAATTTTATAAGTCGCCTTCGGCTTTGAAATGCCTACTAACTTATGTGTTTAGGATTTATAAGACAGATCGAAGTCTGAGGAAAACTTTATTGAGGAACTTCTTCCCACCATCGTGCTCATCATAACAACTTTCCTTAAACTTCTCCCTTTACGCAATTTGCCCAAATGAAGAGTTCCGTCTGAACGCCTAAACATGATATTCAACGCCGCATGGAATTCTCTATCGCACTTAAAAAAATGCTTGAACGCTTTACGTTAGTATGACATGAGCAATTCAGAAAATCCGACACCTTTTAGATGACGCGTTAGATAATAAAAATGGGGACTGGGAACCGGACCCCATCCGACCAGTGCTGAATACAATTAACAATTTATATGTCCCTCTTAGTATGATAAATAAAATACGGTAATAACGAGATACATATATAGAAAGTATAAAATAAAAAATAGATACACGATATTAATACAAATAGAAATAAAAGTAAAAATAGAAAATAATTAAAGCGATGCGATTAAGCGATTCAAAGTTGATCGATCAATCACTCATTGTGCAGGGTAAAAAATTTAAGTAACAGGGGTAACACCTTTTGGCAAAAGGCATACAGCATTCATCATTCTTATTTGTTAAACTCATAGCGCCTTCATCCTGTTTGTGCTATGACGACAAATTAATCGATTATTACTGTTCTAGTGCTTCATCCCGGTTTTAGTCAAACATATCGAATCGGACATGTAAAATATTGCATCATATAGCTCATAATAACCGCATTCAGTTGTGTTGTGTAAACTGTGTTGAGAACTTTCAAGAATTTCTTTACTTAACTGAGCCGGCAGGAATTTGAAAAAAGATTATATAAATTTGTGTGGCCTAATTGACCAAGAACTAAAAGTGTGCAGCACTTTAGTAGAATAACAGTTCATATGATTAATTGATAATTTTTTGTAAAATATAATACGAATATATAATAAACTTGGTAAGAAATTATTTTCTAAAAAGAAAAATTAACAATAATTATAATTTATTTATACAAACAACCCAATATCCAGCTTGATCTATTTTTGTAATTATAAAAGATGTAATAACTACAATTTTTTTGTTTGTATGACGTATATGATTTCAGAATATATATTATGTAATCTTTTGTCACTGCCCTTAATATTTTATATTACAAAAAAGAAAATTTTTAATTTAATTATTTTTTGAGTCTCTAATAACTACCATTCACATGTTAATGAACTTGATTTGGTTCAGTATTATTATCTATTTTACCAATTTTAAACCTAAACCAACGACCACGTTCATCTTCAATAATATTTTCATTTTCATCATACCAAGTTTTTTCAACAAACACCACATTATTATCACGGTCCACAAGAACAACAGTACTTGTTCGAGTGCCATGGGCTTCGAATTTTGGTATTCTAATATTCATCTTGACATTTGAATGTTCATATGGATGTGTGGTACTATCAAAATAATGATAAATGATGAAAGGTTTTCAAGCATTAATAAATGAAAAGTAATTAAAAATACCTAAGCAATCGAAATAAATTCTCGACTAATTTTTCTTCAGAGTGTTCTTTCTCACAAATTGATTTCATTTCATCAACACCAAACTTTACTTTTGGCCAAGGTTCATCCAATAAAGAGTTAGATAATCCGTATATTTCTTTAGAATTTAAACGTTTAATATCCATAGATCCTCTATTAGACAAATAAAACACTTCCGAGTTTTCATCATTTAAGTCTACACTTATTAAATTAAATCCACCATACATATGCGATTCATTTTTAATAGTATTCAAACATTGTTCCAATGGGGAATCTGATTCCAAAATTGATCTGACTGCAGCTCCACGAGATAGTGGAAATTCTGAACTGACGATTTTAGGTTCTTGAAAATTTGTGACCGCAGTAAATCTTCCTGCTCTATTTATTCCAAGCCATGTTCCATGTGCTGGTTTTAACAAGTCCAACCCGCTTAATATGTTTGGGTTCCACCATGATGCGAGTGAAGTTGGCCGATTAAGGAATTCGTCTCGATTTGCGGCAAAAATACTAAAAAGAGAAAAAATGAATGCGAGAAAAAAACAAACAATACATACATCTGATTATATCAGATTATATTAACAATATAAATTAAAAAAAATGAACAATTACAATTTATACTTTACGGGACTATTATCTAATTTCCAGAATAATACGCACATTTAATTGAATTTTAAAAGAATTCTTGGGGTAAATTTAATTGGTTGATGCTTTAAAAATTTTTTTACGAATTACTTTGGAAGGACCCTATTTATATAAAAATTGTTACTGAGTATGGTATAATGATCAGCAATATGATAATTACACATGATAATTACTAAATACTACAAGACTAATTTGGGGGTGATGCGTTAATTATCCCCAACTCAAATTGTCTAGTTTACAAACTTGAATCTCCACTGCGCCGTTGCCCCAAGTCCCCAATATCTCGACGTCAGTGAAAGATATATAAACACATAAAATTTTTGTGAAAATTTTTATTTTCCTCCTTTTTTTTAAAAAAAAAAAAT